TTTGTGTGCTTATAGAAAATGTTACGTTTCGCAAAATGCAAACTTGTATATATCAATTTAAAGAGAATTTATTACTGAATTCAATACAAAACACAAAATTCAATTATTTGCAATACAAAAAAAGTTAAACGATAAGAGTTATCGATATACATTAGATAGTGATGATTGCAGTGAGTTATCAGTACTTAGTAGGGTACCCTTTATTTTTGATTACAGCTTCACATCGACGTTTCATTGAGCTGACAAGAGTTTTAAGCTCTTCTTTCGTTATTACATGATGCCAGGAAACAATTATAGCCTCAATTAGTTCCCTTTTATTAGATGGGCGCCTCATTCGGAGAAGAGTTTTCAAACGGTGCCACAAATTTTCGATAGGATTGAGGTCAGGACTGTTTCCTGACCATGACAAAAATCTAATGCTCTTTGTACGAAACCACTCTTTCGATATTTTGGCCGTATGGCAAGGAGCAGAATCCTGCTGAAAAATAAACGAAGCATTGTTGGAAAAGAGATCTCTGATGGAAGGTAGAAGTTTTGGCTCTAGAATAGTGTCAATGTATTTTCTGGCATTCAGTGTCCCATCGATGACATGAAGGCGACCCATACCATCTGATGACATGCATGACCAAATCATAACACTAACTGGGTTCTTCATAGTTGCTTGAATGCAGTCAGGATGTAGCTCTTCTCCTATTCTACGTCATACATATTTTCGCCCATCACTACCGAATAACCATATCTTAGTTTCATCACTCCATATAACTTGTGACCACTGATCATCTGTCCAATTAATGTGTTCCTTTGCCCACTGTAGTCTTCTTTTTCGTTGCTGAAAATTAAGATAAGGCTTCTTTTGTGGAATTTTACCTCTCAGTCCAACATCTGTTAATCTTCTCCTGATTGTTCTTGAACTGACAGAAACACCAGCATCATTCATATCACTTCTGATGGCCGCTGATGACATTTTTCTATCTTGGAGACATAGTCGTTTTATTCTTCTGTCATCAATAGATGTGGTGCACCTTTTTCGGCCTTTTTCTTCTTTGTTTTTTATTAAATTTGTCTCCTGATATCGTAAACAAAACTTTCGGGCTTCACATGTAGTCACTGAACCACCCACCTGTCTTGCAATTTCAGCAATTGAAAGATCACTTTCTCGTATCACAATAATATTACATCTCTTTCTAAGGGCCCAATCTACTCTTTTATTTGATGTCATTGCTTCTTGACTAAATATTAAAATTTTTTACAAAAATTCCTACTTGTAATTGCAGTGAATAAGAATTAGGTCCTCCTTCTACAGAACAAAGTAAAATAATGAATTGTTTCAAGTTTAAACATGATGTCAGCTTCTACTGGCAGTTACTAACAGTTGATTGGTTCTAAGAACAAGAACAGTGATTGGCCAGGAAAGCTAGAAAGCTTTTTTTTGTATTGCAAATAATTGAATTTTGTGCATTTTGCGAAGCGTAACATTTTCTATAAGCATACAAATTTTCGAAAACATAAAAATTTCCAAAAGTGTCCACAATTTTGGCCACCACTGTATATAAAGACAATATTACATTCCGTTACTTTAAGACATATATTACAAGGTCTTTTTATCCTCCCTTATTTTCGATCATAACACGTATCATGTTGCTAGAAGCGTAACTAAAACATACATATATTAATGTGAAAGTATATTTGAATTAAAATGATTATTTGAATATTTGAATTATCTGTAAAGTTTTACCATAATACAGCGATTTCTACAACATGGTTTGTTTTTAACTCCGCTAGATAATGCTGTAAATTCTAATAACAGACTACGCTTTCATATAATTATTTTGTTCTCATTTGAGAGTGTAATTTAAGCCAGCCTGCATTCATGAGCTTTTCACGAAGAGAAACGAAAATGACGTGGTAGAAGAAAAGCTATTAGTGAACACGAACACATGCAGCAGTTGTCGTTACCATGGTTACGAGGAAAGTCGGAAGGAAAAATGACTCTGAAAGGCCTATTTTAAAATAAGAGATTATAATTTTACAGAAATGCAACAAGATTTCATTTTTGTACTAGCAATAATAATGTGTAATTTAAGCCTCAGGTACTTCGAGGCTTGACCACTCAATCATTGATCGATCTATCTAATAATGCATAAGTACAAAAATCATATACAAATATACAAAAATAATACAAATACAGTATTGCACATGTAAAAAAGTGAGCTATTTTTGTTAAAATTTCGGATGTGTTCTATGTAAAGTGGTGGTAAGCAAATGTGTTCTTGAGCTTTATAATGGGAATTATAGCATACTTTAAATATTTTTATGAATATACTTAACGTTTTAAAAATGTAGTTGTCAGAATACGAAACGCTTCTCTTATTTTGGCTAAAAATAGTATTTTCTAGATGAATTTGAAATGCATAACTACCGACAAAGAAATATCATTGCTTGCATTTCTGCAGTTTTGGTAGATATATTTCAACATATTTCTCGCTAGATTTTTACACTGTTTCTTTTAAATTTTGCGTCCGGTCTATTTCAATAACATTCGTAACTATATTATTTTATAAAAGAGCAGATTCTATTAAAATACTTAATTTAAGTCGCATCGCATTCTACTGTATAATGCATGAATGTATGATAAAGAGCAAAATTTATACTTTATGTCTTTAATTATGTATATGTATTTATGTTAATAATTAATTTAAAGCGTTTGAATCTGTTGTAAAAAATAACAAAATATTCTTCCAGATTATTATAATTGTAGTATAAAATTCAAATTATTTGTGAAATTTTACCATTGTAATGTAAGCATTCACGCCACGATAATACCACACTACAGTGAGATTTGTCTCGTTGTAGAGTGGTATTATCGTGCCAGAACATGTGGCACATTCTTTTAACAAAGTAGGTGATCCCTATAACACGATTTAGTTCTAAAAATGTTAGAGTAACTTTTGTTAGACGGCCATGCACATTTCCAGATAGTATTGGTCGCCAGTGGAAGTCGTTGCCTTAGAGAAGTGATGCTTTACACTCATATTTATTTATATTCTTAACCCTACAAGCGGCAGAAGATTTCGCTAACAAACCCCAAATTTTCTGAAACTGCCATGAGAGAGAGACATTTTCTTAATTTCAACGTCCAAAATGCCTGTAGTACTTCATGCCTGGATTTATGTACTTTTAATATAGTGTCTTGATATCTTGGACATATTCGAAGATTTATAAATTTTCTCAAAAAATGTTGCAAATATATTCTAGGCTGTGACAGGGTATCCCATCAAAACCATCCACACTTTGACGGCCAGATTTCTTGCTTGCAATACATAGAAAATTCCAAAGAATTTTATAAGTACCAGTAAGACCTGTAAAGACATTAGGTATTTTTTGGATGCAGGAGACTTGAAAAATGAGCAACGCCCTCGCCGGGAATCGAAGCACGGACCTCTGGAATACGCGGCCAGCGTGTAGACCACTACACTACGAAGGCATGCTAAGAAGGCGGGAGAAATACCTTATATACTCTCCCTCTTAAAGGGCGACTGGGGTTTTTAAGGGACCCAGTCGTCAAATCCTGAGTGTGGAGAATCATCATCCACCATCCTTTTAGTTCAGGCGCCTCTGTAGAGACATTAGGCATTTTTTAGAAGCAGAAGACTTGAAAAAGGAGCAACGCCGTCGCCGGCAATCGAACCACGCACCTATGGAATACGCGCCCAGCGTGCAAACCCACTACACTACGAAGGCATGCTAAGAAGGCGGGAGAAATAACTTATAGGCCCATAAATGCGAAAGAAAACTATGCACGAAGATGTAACTCTAAACTAAAAAAAATGAGAGCTGATGCCGTGTCCGGTCTTATATAGTTTTCCTCCGGCCACCTAGAAATCTCTAGCACCTTCCATTTCTCAAAAGTCCTGGAAAGCATATACGGTTAAGGTTACGTATAAGGGCCGGATACCGTTACAATTACAAGAAGGAATCAATTTAAGTTTTTTTGTTACAGTACCAACTGCATTTATACAAAAACTAGGCCAAAATTTCTCAAAAAGCATCGCCACCTTGGCGATATCACGCCAACTTAGCAAGATATCCATTTACCTCAGTGTTAAATAAATTTGCCCCTGTAACTTTGTTTTTCTGTCAGAGCTTCGCTTTTTCGATCAATGCTGTTACATTATACTAAAGATACTACAATTTCACTGAAGTTATTTACATAAAAAATTCGTTAACAGTATTTTTCTGTTTGTTACCATATGGGTTATTATTGTTTCCTGTGATTTTAAGTACTTTCACAAGAAACGTGATTTTTAGTTGACTGTGGACGTCGCCCATGATAATAGCCCTCTTAATCGGCAGCTGACTGTAAAATTTACAGTATTACATGAATTAATTACTGATTACTGAATATATTTAGGATTCCCCATAGTCTGCAGAAGAATTAGGTATGAATGATAAAATGGCGAACATTAAGTCATAGTAATGTAGAAAATGGCCATACAACTGGAACTATGACGTAACTTTCACGCGCCATCTAGACGAGCGTGCAGACGAGATGTTAACAATGACGAGTGAAACGCATGATATAATATTCTTTTTTTATTTTCTCTTCATTTTAATTTGTGCAAATAAATCGTAGTTTAGTAATAACTCAATGAGGTTGAGTTACGATTATTAGTGATGTTTTTCCTACAATAATCCTTATGTTTTCTTTGATGCGTTATTGTCTTATCATAAAGGAAGCATTAGTCAGTTTTGCTTTCAAGCCAGCCTTAAAAATATATGCTTCATTGAACGAGCTTATCTGCTGAACATCCTGAACGGATGACGACAAAAGTGTTGCCATTGGTCGCTTCCCAGACCTTGGATATCTCATTATTTGAATCAGTTGGAGGTATTTTCCTGGAAAATCCATATACGTATCAACCGCTGTAAATTAAACAAAAACTACTAAAATATGCCCTGGAAGATTTTAAGTATTGATTTCTTTCTTTCTCTCTTTCCAGCAAATCTTGTCTTCGACATTATCGTCATTTGTGACCACAGGAGCATCAGGCACTCAGACGCCAATGAGTCAGAAGGCGCTTCAAGAGCATAATCTGACGCAAGCGCATGGAGGCTCTAAACATCAACTACCCATGATGAGCCCATACTCGCCTATTGGCGGTGGTACTAGCAGTGGAAGTTACGCATCGCCCAGTGTGGCTGGAACGTCCTGTATGGGTATGCCACCCAGTTGCTCATCTATACCACATTCTCTATCCTTTTCCGGGTATTCGCACCATTCCTTGCTGCAAGGGACTTCCTTCAGCTCACCATGTCCAAGCACTTTTGGGACTGCCCAACCGTCAGCTGCTGCGTCGTTCTTTGCAAGGTAAGTAACGTTTTGTGATGCTTCTTTGGCGAAATGAAGCAACTCCAATGATGGAACACAGCAATAACTTTAACAATATTTAACACTAAAAAAAATGGCGACATACAAACAAGAAGAGAAAACATATTCTAACATTTAAAAATAAATTACATTCTTCGTGCGAGAGTCGCACGAGGCACTCGAGTCTGGTTTCATATATTGCAATTCACAAATACCTTAATGTTCATCTATTTAAATTATTTAAACTACAAGATTTTAATATTATTTAAAGCTGTTACAACCTCTCCCCAACGGAGAGACTTTTACCGAAGGGAAAAGTTCTGTAAAATTCGAAAGTTTATAAGCTCGGCTTGCTCAATGGCTTAAAGAGAAAAAAGTAATTTTCTCTTCATAACGTTTCCAAATTTCAAGCCGAAAACTTTTAAGTTTTAAACAAATAATTTTGCCCCACATTTAAATACAAAAAAATGGACAGAGTTCAAATTAGTCTTCTTTTTTTTCTTGACGGCGCCTAGATCTCTTCCATGGTGGACCAGTTCCTCGGGTATAACTCACAGCAAAGCCTTTCCTCGGTTCATCTGTGCCTTTCGGATAATATTCATTTGTCATTTGCTTTCGACAATTGTTTTCTTCGTCTATTAGTAGCGGCTTTGATATTAAATCAAAAGCCGAAAGATGATAACGCTGCATTGCAAAATGATTCTCAATATTAATTTCTTTATCGTTTTTCAAATTTTTGTGAACATCCTCCACGTTTAATTCTGAGGATTTAACTTCTTCAAAGACATCTCTGGGTGCTTTATTTTCTTCTTTCATCGGTTCCAAGATCTGCTCTTCAGCTATTTTTCTTTTCCTTTGAGCTCTAGTAGAAAGGGCATTAAAATGGTATCACTAAGTTTACGTTCAAGTGATAAACTAATAAAATAAGGCAGTTCAGTGTTAACGGGAAGTAATAACCTGATATCACTAATATTATGTTCAGTGATGAACTAATAAAATAAGACAATTCAGATATTCAACAGAAAGTAATAATCTGGTGTCACTAATTTTAGAATCGGATATGTCAGTGATGAACTAATAACATAAGACAATTCAATATTCAACAAGAAGTAATAATCTGGTATCACTAATATTGCACGTCAATGATGAACTAATAAAATAAGGCAATTCAATATCAACAGGAAGTAATAACCTGGTATCACACTAATATTGCGTTCAGTGTAAACTAATGAAATAAAAATACGCACGATTATTCGATCTCGGTCGGTGCCTCCAAAATAATTAAGACTGTGATGCTTCTTTGGCGAAATGAAGCAACTCCAATGATGGAACACAGCAATAACTTTTATTTAACACTAAAAAAAATGGCGACATACAAACAAGAAGAGAAAACATATTCTAACATTTAAAAATAAATTACATTCTTCGTGCGAGAGTCGCACGAGGCACTCGAGTCTGGTTTCATATATTGCCATTCACAAATACCTCAATGTTCATCTATTTAAATTATTTAAACTACAAGATTTTAATATTATTTAAAGCTGTTACAGTTTCGATTGCGTGAAATAACCTTAAATCTCATAATGATAAGACACCTGAAGCAAACACCATTTCCTATTGGATGAGACATTACTTCAGGCAACGTTCTGAAACGTTTTTTTCAGTTAGAAGCCACTTTTTTAAACTAGAATATTCTGCGGACTACCGTATAGTTACTAAATGTTTTAGCATATGTTTTTAAAATACAGTTAATTAAAAATCTTTTAAATTTTATGTTGGTGTTAAGTAATTGAATCAATGGCATAAAATTTCTGTTCATGTTTAATATTTCAAAGTTAACAGAGTTTGGATAATATTTATCTCATTATCTGAGACCTAAATAAATTCTGGCACTCGCTTTAATGATACGGATGAAGTTGCCCATTCTTGCATAGCTAATCTGTATTTGGATCTATGCTGGTCAGAAGCATCACAGTCATAGTGCTTTAAATCCATGTATTGCTGCTAAGACTACAAAAATGTAGGTAGTCCGCAGGTAGGATAACCGGTAATAAAACTCCATACAGTGTCAATCTAGGGAGAAAATGTGATAGATTCCCATGTGTAATTCAAAAATTTTTAGATTTTTAGCTAGTGTGGCATATCCAGTTAACTTGAATTTTATTTTTTGTCCTTTTTAGAAATCTAGTAGGAAATTTCGATTGTTTTTGGAAATCAAAAGCAAGTTTCGAGAACAACAGATTGAGAAACGCTCAACTAGGGCAATTTATCTGTGGGTACTAAACGACAGTCATACCAATAAATGGTCTTGTTAAAGAACTGTCACTAAGCTTGGCCTTTACACCGTTAATTTCGCGTGCTTTTAATTATTTCTGAACAGCTAATTGAAATTTTCGCATTGCAATGCACACATTTAAGTGATTAGTCACCATCGGTTAAAGTGCATCGAATAATAATAATAATAATAAAAACTCTGAAAGATTTTAGATTTTATATTACGTCCAAAGGGGCGTTTTCTAAAGGTTTTGTGTGTTACCTTAATTAAATATCATGTTTTTCGCACTTAAATTATATAAAATTCAATTCAACAGCAAAATTGCAAGATAATTTGAAAACAGCATATCTTTAAAGTTTCTGATGCACAATCTCGTGCGCTGAAGATAATTTTTTTTTCCGTACAATATTGCCATTGCTTGCTTTGAAATAGTCGAGTTTGCTAGTCAAACATTTGTTAAAGTTTTGCAAAATATGAAATAGATAATAAAACAAATACCAAATTCCAAATTCTGGCTTCCCGCTGGCCATATTCGAGTGGAGGACTACGTTATTCAGAATTTCAAAATTTCTCTAGGTATCGTCTTTTTTCACAGTGTGATAAGCATACATAAATTCATGCAGATTCTTCATTATTTAATTTTGTTAAATATAGCGCAGGGGTGTAATATTTGGTGGCAACAATTTGAAGTGTGAAAACTCCTTTTACAGTGTGTAAGATTCCAACCTGCGCACTTTTAAGTTAAAGTTAAAGAATCTTAAGAAATGGTAAGCGAGTAATCGCTTGAGTTCGCAAGACAGAAAATAAAACTTGGGAAGTGTTATATACCCTTTATTATTCCAAATTAAATTCACAGAACTCCTTCTTGGAGTTTTACAATAAAGCTTCCACTCGGGCTTGAACTTAGGAACTAAAAATTTAAACTAACTAATCTTAACTAAAAGGATATAGCCGAAGCTATCAAGATTCTAACCGAGTTGGCCCCTTAATGCTAACTAACGGCGAAGCTCTCAAGGGCCTAAAGTACGGCCGAGCGTAATAATAGCTTAAGAGAGAGTAGCCTAAAATGGCGGACGCGCGCTAGTCAGAATCACTGGTTCTCTCTAACGAAGTCAGTAGAACTTCAAAGTTAAATACTTCTCATTTGCATTCAAACGCGATTCTAAAAATACGTTCTGGCCAGAAGTTGTAAGCTTGAAATGAAGAAAAGGTAGTACAGTAACCTTAACACAAAATTTAAGTATTAGATATGATTATCTCTACATATAATAAAAGAAAGAGTCTGTCTGTGTGTGTGTATGTGTGTCTTTCGTTCGCGCTGCGCGTAAGCTAATAGACCCACGGCTACGAAATTTGGTACATAGGTGCATCTAGAAGCGCAAGAGCCAGTGCACCTCGAAGCGATTTTTTCGAAATTCGAATTAGAATTTTTTTAATTTTATGTTTTGTGACGAAATCGCGTCATTTTGAGACTTAATGGGCTATAGGAAAGCGAGATTTTGCTCTAAACACTCCATTTTCACATCGTCATGAAACGTAGGCACTTAGCTATTTTACGAACTTAAAATAAATTTCGTGTTTCAATAAATCGATTAACTACGAATTTATTTAACAAAGTGAGCTTAACACCTTTTCAACGGGATTTTTTTCTAAAAAAGTTTATTTTTAAAAACGGAAAGTTTATTTTTCTTTAATTTTTGGACACGTTAAACTTTTATCCTTGCGACTGTTTTTACAAAAAGAATTTTGGAAAATGATAATATTTTGTACTTTTAAAACATTTTTCAAATGAAGCTTCCGAGTACACTTCTCACATCTCACATCTTTAAAAATGTGATTTTGGCAACAATTTTCCTTTCGTATTGTTTTTGATAGATTTTTGATGAAATCGCATCATTTTGAATAGTTTCATTCTTTTAGAAATATGGGTTTGGCAACAATTTTTCATCGCATTTCTTATGACATTGTTTTTAAGAGATTGGCATATTCTCTTTTTGAGTTTCTTTCATGCTATTTTTTGCTTATTTCACTATTTGTAAAATATTGAAAAGTTTTGCATGATTTTTTTTCTTCAACGGAAAGTTGGTTAATTTTTTTATTAGGATATTTAACATTTGTATTAAGGGATATAGCTTATTTTATTTTAATTTTTTCTATTGAAAATATAAGATAAAATATCATTAATTATACTTTGTTTTTCAGAATTTTTTGTTTTTTGTATTCTTTTATGCTATTTATGGCTCATTTCACTGTCTTTAAGATATTGAAAAGTTTTGAGTGACTTTTTTAGGAAGCAAAGTTCTTAACCTCCTTTATACCATTTGAGTTCTTAAGATTTCGCAAAGGGAAGTTGGTTAATTTATCTATTAGGATAATTAATATTTGTATTAAGGGATATTGCTTATTTCATTGTAATTTTGTTATACGTAATAACTTTTTTTTATGAAGTTGTTCTGCAGAGTAAAATTCTACGCAGTTTTTTGATTTAACGTTTGGTGTTCCCTTCAGCCATTTTTCCGGTACATTTAAAAGCCAGACGAAGGCTGGCAGCGAAGCTGCTAGTGTTGGATAAATTAACATAATCCTTGGAAGTGTTAGATAAATTAACATAATCCTTGGAAGTGTTAGAAAAATTCACATAATCCTTGGAAGTGTTAGATAAATTCACATAATCCTTGGAAGTGTTAGATAAATTAACATAATCCTTGGAAGTGTTAGATAAATT